GGCCTCCACACCCTAGCACATCTCTATAAAGGAACACAACTTGCAGACTTCACCACATTACAATCTGAACACGGCATCCGACTCGCCTCACACTTTTCTTATAGGCAACTCCAATCTTTCATGCGCAAATATGAACCCCATAACCTCACCCAGCATCCCATAGAAGCATCAATGCTCACCCCATGGGAACAGATATGTTCTAACAAACACTTACCTAGGTTTACCAGACCGCTCTCCATGTGCTACAAACTACCGTATTTTCCGGCGTATAAGACGACTGGGCGTATAAGACGACCCCCAACTTTTGCAGTTAAAATAGAGAGTTTGGGATATACTCGCCGTATAAGACTACCCCTCTTCCAATGCACACCAAATAAAAATTAGCCATGATGTACAGTGAGCAGACAGAGCTACACAGCAAGACATTAAATAATGATAATCTGAAATAGCATTTAAAGCCCAGGTATGTGCCCGGCTGTTTGGGCATATAATCCATGCCTGCTGGTCTAGCACACAGGAGGCTAATTGCGATATATTCTTTTTACCCCCCCTCCTCCCCCCCTCCATTCTTTTTACTCCCCCCTCCATTCTTTTTAATCCCCCCTCCATTCTTTTTACTCCCCTCCATTCTCCCCCCTCCATTTTTTTTACTCCCCTGCCCCCAATCCTCCCTACATTCTTCTTACCTCCCCTTCCCTGTGCACTTCCTTTCAGTCCAGCCGGGAACAGGTAACTGAATCTCCTGTACCGCACGGTACCTAGCCGGACCGACAGGACGAAGAGGAGCTCGGCCACCCACTCTGCACAGGGAAGGGGAGGTGAGAAGAGAGGCAGTGCGGCAGCCGTCTGAGCGCTCTCTATAGCAGCATTAGAAGGGCCAGCGATGGGGTCGCAGGGCGCCTCCGGCAGCCATATAGACCCTATACCCGGCGTATAAGACGACCCCTGACTTTGGAGAAGATTTTTCAGGGTTAAAAAGTCATCTTATAAGCCAGAAAATACAGTACTCCTGGACTACACATCATTAGCTAATGCCACACCGACGAAAATGGTTTACAGATGGTATCTAGTACCGGCAAGGTTACACAAACCTTGGAGATGTGCCAAGCATATAGGCACAGTTTTACATATCTGGTGGCAGTACCCGAACATCACTACCTTCTGGGCGGCCATAGGCACCACATTGAAAAGTATCACTCACACATAACTAAAATGGGAACCACACACATACCTACTACTCCTGCTCCCACAGGGAACCCCCCCACACATGAGGAAAATCACCTACTTCTTACAGCCTAGTCATACTCCCTCAATAGAAGCAGTCCTCTCTGAGATAGATAACCAAAGAATATATGAACGACGCCTCACCAACATATGTTCACCCTCCAAAACTAACGCAGCAGCCTGGGGAATGTGGGACATATGGAGACGAACACACCCTGATTAGGGAGATAGCACACACAGAGACTGGGTATTGTAGAAGATTATGTCAGACATTGCTGGATTTGTAATAATATGAAATAATTCAATATGTGAAACAGTGTGGATTAACAACTTGTATGACACCCCTCCCCCCACTCCCCTCTTTTTTCTGTATCCCTCTCCTCACTAATGTTGATATTTGAAAACAATAAAAATTATCAAATAAAAAAAAAAAACAGTTATATTACCAGGTAGACACTGACATGCATTCACAATGGTTGTACAGACAGAAACCCTCACAGACACCAATACTGCACAAAACAAATAAATATTTGTATGTATTTATAAAGTCACTTTTTACATAAAAACAGCCAACCTCTCATAGATGCATTTTGAATGTTAAACTGAAAGCTTATCTCTGGCCCTGGCTAAGGGGACCAACCACTCATGGTCATTTACAACGTACAAATCAGTAAATCCAGAAGATGTCTTTTGAAAAAGAAGGACTAGTTAAGCATTTTAATCTTCCTGTTCATTCATGCTCTCTATAATGTTCTTTGAGGCTTCTGCTGAGATCCCGCGCTGAAACCAGGGCTGATAAATTAGTCTGGATAGAAGCAAGGAAAATTCTGCATGTAAAAAGTCATTACAACTTTGTTCTGGGTGAAGGTTTACCTCGACTGCAGCTGTGATAGACAATGCCCTGGGCATAAATGCCAAAAATCCCAGCTCTGCTTAAGAAAACACTGCGCTGATAATGCAGAATTAACCTCAGTAAGATCTTAACAAAAAAAAGGATATGGATTTTATGCAAAGCATCTTTCTACTTTAATAACACAATATTACAGATAAGCTGTAAATTTGGGTTATGTCTATATAGGCTGAATTGCAATTATGCATTAGCATGCATTATATTTTTCCATATTTTACACAGAGGTTGGCAAAATCCAGGTTAATCCTGAGATGAACTGAAAAATTAGGCCATTAAAGATAAAAAGCAATCCTCTCTGTAAGTGCAAAGAATTGAAAGGAGAACATTGTTGTATCATTACATCCCTCCATAGCAGCTGAGTCACAGCAATTGGCAAAAGTAATGAGTATGACCACGGGACATTGTTTCAGCATGATTTTTTGAGGAGAAAAAGGGCCAAGCATTAAACCCGTCTTCCTCTGTAAAAACGTCCCTCTAGGCAACTGCATATCTTCCAACATTTCAAATGGACAAAGTGGGACAATATAATTTTAGAGGTGAGAGTGGGGTGGAACTGCTCAGAGAAAATTTAGGAGGGCTTACTGATAACAGTTTATGCAACTAAAATGTAGTCTACAACCAAAACATTGTATGTTATTTACACAGGCACATTTCTTGAAGTTTAAAGACACATTGCTGGGAGTTTTAGTGCTGTGGAGCCCCGGTACCAATTCGGACACTCTAAAAATAATGAGCTCCAGCAAAAAAGGGACTTTAAGATAGAAAAGAGAGACAGAGAGATTTGGGCACATAATAGGGACTGCCTCCTTAAACATGGACACATGGGAGGTAAGTATCTATATAATGTTATACTTACCATGTGTGTGCACGATAATTGGAAAGCACATGACTGATGGCAATAATGCAGAATTGGTGGCAATAGTATGCACTGTAATAAGGTGGGGAGGAGCCAAGAAGCTCAAATTGATACTGTCATATTGGTCTGGCTACCAAATTATTTAGGCTGTATTCTAGCAGCTAGAGGCTCATTAAAAGCTCAACTCTGATACGTAAAGCAATTTTACCAACTTAGTTTTCGTTGACAACAGTTATTAAACACTCCAAGGAACACAACCACTACAGTCTTCTGTAGTGGTTATGGTACCTGGAATGCTTTTGTACCCCCCCGGGTAAGTAGTCAAACCGTTTGCTAATGTTTAGACAACATACCTGGAGTCCACTTACTCCACTGAGAGCTTCTGCTGGCTCTCTTGAGCTAATTCCTGGTGCACCTGCCTAGTTAATTGGCTGAGTGTCAGCTGGCCACTCTCAGCCAATGAGGTAAGTCCTGCACCACTAGGGTTAGCTCATTGGAGAAAGCTTCTGGCTCTAATGGAGGAGGTTCCGGTGAATGCAAGGTAGCAAAGGGACTTGCTACTTACATTGAGGGCAGGGCACAGAGTACTTCTGGCACCTAAAATACTGCTAAGGGCTGTTGTGTTTATGGTGTTTTGAGTGTTCCTTTAAATTGTGTTTTCACTGCATTCAAATACAGTGCTATACTGTATCATCTAACTTGACAAAATTATAGTTGATTAACAAACAACTTTCCTTGAGTGTTTTAAGTTCAGAAGCACGAGTCTTCAATGGGAATATTATACATGTTTAAAGGCATTTAAAATGCCTGTGTATATATGTTTAGCTAGGCATCAGTCATCCTCAAACCTTTTTTAATAGCTCCTGATCCTTTGAGAGGTCTTAGCTTAATACAGGACGTACATTTAAATTTTTGAAGCATTTAAAGTTTTGGCTTCTGGTGTATGTATAAAAATGGGCTTTCTTGCACATAGCACAAACCTAGCCTTTATTTGCTCATCTCACTCTAGGGTGCATGCCTGCGATCAATGTAAACACATTAAACGTTTTTAAAGAACATCATCACCAGTCTGGAACTTGATTAAACTAGCTAGGTACCACTTATCCAGGTGTCTACAAGTGACTCTAATATCTGTTTATTTTTCAGCGAGAGTTCTAAAAGCAGAAAGCAAGCTAAATATTTGTCAGGACGAATGGGCTGAGTTAATAAGAGAACAACACTAGCCACTATTTACAGTTGCTTGGTAACTAGATTTTTTTAGAACATAACTATGTTAACATAGTTAACATAACTGCATTTGAAGTATGGGCTTTCACTTGATTGGCTGTGGATTGGAGTAAGAGGTACCACAAATTCTATTAATGCACATAATATGTCTACTAAAACACAAGTTAAAATTCAAACGTATATTTTAATGTGCCATTTTTCTAATGACGTAATTGATGCTTTGGCTCTGGGTACTGGACAAAGCCAGAAGGACAGCTGCACAGCTGCATTTGGCCAAGAAACTTCCAATTTCTAAGGTCTACAGTGGAATTAAAAAAAAATACTAATTTATTAACACAACATAGAGGCAAACAGTCAAAACAGGGGAGATGAAATAGATGACATGTCACTTTTCACAAGTGATGTAAATAAATATTATCTAAATGTGGAAGCAATTGAGACATTTATTCACTTGCTTAGTGTAGTCCAGAGGTGCCCAAAAGGTAGATCCCCATATGTTTTAAAAACTACAGCTTCCATGATGCTTTGCCATTCTGAAGGCATTCCAAAGGCATCCAAATCTATTGTAGTCCTACAGCACCTGGGGTTCTACCCTTTGGGAACCCCTTGTCCCATCTAATGCTTTAATGTGGCTGCAGAGCAGGGATCAGCAACCTTTTCCTGCATGCAAGATGGATTGCTTTTGTGTAAATGGATAGAAAACCACATTCATCTATATAGCTACAAGATACTAGTAGATAGATCCCTAATTTGCTATGCTAATGCCGGATTGCCAGGTATACGGATACCAAATTAGAGAGCTATCTACTAAACAGCTGAAAGGTAAAAAAAAACAACAACAATAAAAACAACAGGAAAAGGGTTTTTGGTATATCAGCAGTTTAGTAGATAACTCTCTAATTTGGTATCCATGTGTGGGCTTGCCATATATACGAAGTAAAATTAGGATGCTATGGTAGGAAACTAAAGTCTGCCTACTAAATAGTTGGAAAGTCAAATTAAGAAAATGGCTTTTCCTTATTTTGATCTTAATAAGTTATTATAGTTTACCTGTATCCACCATGCACTCTTGCAAATACAAAGGGAATGGTGACATGTGCACATAGGCTGGAAGCCTGAGAGACTGCATACCATGCGTTCGTTGGCCTAAGTGCCGGTGGGAGATCTAGCCGTTAGTTACATTGCAGGGTTAAGACAACCTCTAGTGGCTGTCTTTCTAAAGGTTTCCAAGTTTCAAACAGAGTTTAACTCCATAAAACATTGTTGGATGTCCTCATGCTCTGCATGAGGATGCCTAACGTCTTCAAATTTCCCACAGGAAAATATTGATTCAATGCCTTCCTATGGAGAAGCTTTAATTCACATTTCGGTCACATGCACATTAGGTTTCCCCATTGGCCTGACAATGCAGGAAGAGGAGACCTAGCAAGTGCCGAGGTAAGTGAAAACAAAGTGGTTTAACACTTTCGTGGCCAGAGATTGAGGACCTAATAAGCTAGGGACAAGGCCAGAGCTGACTACCCAGGTGCTATATAAATAGGTGGAGTGTTCAGCGCTAGGCTACACAACCTCAGGGAGGTCCAACCCCTTTGCAATCGGCGACAGGCCGTAGAGGGGTCAGGATCTACCTGAGCCTAGTGCTGAGCCTATTGTACAGAACACTGGTGAGACCTCACTTGGAGTATTGTACGCAGTACTGGAGACCGTATCTCCAGAAGGATATTGATACTCTGGAGAGTTCAGAGAAAGACTACTAAACTGGTTCATGGATTGCGGGTTAAAACTTACCAGGAAAGGTTAAAGGATCTTAACATATTTAGCTTGGAGGAAAGACGAGACAGGGGGGGATGTAACGGATCACCTGGCACCCCGACTGGGTACCTCCGTTGATGGATGCTCCTAGTGCTTCTTGAGGGCTCCAAGCACTCTAGTCGACACCACAACCACCGCAGGCAGAACCTCTCTTCCTTCCGAGCGAAGCAGGAACAAGCTCTTAAAAGATCTTAGGAGTGATTATAGCAAGGGAATATGCAGAGCATAGCAATCCCTTGTAGCAGATTCCCCCCAATAAGAGACAAGACAGGATTGAGGGTGAAGTAGAACTGTCTAAAGCTTTATTTTACTTGGGACTAGCCTATATGGTCATTACATTAACATTGCTGTGAAAACTCAATAAATTTACAAACAATCAAATCATAGCAGGCAACATACAATGACTTATCATAACATAATTACATATTTATAAATGAGTGAGGAAGACCATAATTAACACAAAATGTCTCTCCTGCATGCAGAATTAGCGATATGCAAATCTACCCGAATATGCAAATTACATGTCTTGCTATTCAGGTAGTGCATATTACTGTTGCTACCAACAGAGGGCACTACACAAGCTCCATAGCCAAATCCACCTAGTTGGTAGCAATCCTCAGCAGTACAGGAGAGCAGGGCAATACATCCCAGGGGCCATAGTCACATGGCAGGAGGCTGGCAATCAGTCTTCTCCAATGCCCAGTGGCGAGGCTGGTTCCGCCACAGGGGATATGATAGAAACATTTAAATACATAAAGGGAATCAACGCAGTAAAGGAGGAGACTATATTTAAAAGAAGAAAAACTACCACAACAAGAGGAAATTAGAGGGGCAAATGTTTAAAAATAATTTCAGGAAGAGTTAGTTTACAGAGAGGGTAGTGGACGCATGGAATAGCCTTCCAGCTGAAGTGGTAGAGGTTAACATAGTGAGGGAGTTTAAGCATGCGTCGCATAGGCATAGGGCTATCCTAGACTTAAGATAAGGCCAGGGACTAATTAAAGTATTTAGAGAATTGGACAGACAAGATGGGCTGAATGGTTCTTATCTGCCGTCACATTCTATGTTTCTATAAAATTGATAAGGCCTCATCTGAAGGGAATTAGGACTCCTGTGTTCTAGTGGACCTGGGCAAAAATAAATTTACCCATGTGAGGAATAATGACCTGCCATAGCAGTTATGGCAGTTAATGACTAATCGTGGTACATTTATCACATTCCTAGGGTACAAATAGCATAGGATTTAAACAGGGGACACACAAATATAAATATTCTACCAATTATCTAATGCATGCTATAGATAAGTATCTAAACATTTAAATGTAAATCAAGATAGGTTTCAGATACGCAGTGAATCACATTGTAGTCACTTACTAAAGGAAAATTACTAATACTAACAAGGGACTGGAAAACATTGTACCCTTCAGCTTTTTAAGGTTTTCTATTTTTTACTGACGTTCATCTTTTTATCTGAAAGATGTTTGTCTTTCTTTCCCAAGTAAAGTCATTACTCTAAAGGAAGATGATAAAACACTTTGAAAAGGACTCGGTATGCACTGATGACTCCTAAATTTTAAAAAAGAAAATATTTATTTCCCTTCTCTGTGAGTTATTAAGCAAATCTATTTAAAGTCTCGGAACTCATCTCCATTACCCCTGAGTTATTCCCACTCATGGAAATAATATTGTGATTTGACTGTGGTATTCATAGTCATTTCTTTTTATACATATAAACTTGATATATTCTCAGGCAAAACATTATTTTAACCTCATTCCTGTCAAGATGCCCTAGATGAGATATATTTTAAATCTAAATATAGCTGACATTGCTATCTTATTACTAGTGAAGCTGCTAATTAATTAAGTTTGTTTATTTGAAATCGCCTAATAAATAATATTTCATAGTGTAAAAAAAAAAAACATTTTTATATCCACTTTTTAAAAAAAATATTGTGTCTTGAACATTCTGAATATGTTCTTTTTGGCGCTATAGAAAATATTGTCTATCTATCTATCTATCTATCTATCTGTCCATCTATCTATCTTTCCATCTATCTATCTATCTATCTATCTATCTGTCTATCTGTCTGTCTGATAATCTGTCTCTCTGTCTGTCTGCCTCTCTACCTGTGGCTTTTTAGCACTTGTGTATTCAGTGGGCTGTACCCGCACAAAAGAAAACTCACCTAACATATGCGCTAGATGAGTCAGGGCAGTCTGGCATATGATAATAACAAAAGACCAACTCATGACTAACATTTAGTCAGTTTTTGGATTGTATAAAAAATGGATGAAAGGCAGTCCTCCTGTAAAGGGGTTTCATAACTTTCCTTACCCTTATGTAAAGTAACATCTAAAAATCCAACTTTATAACTAGTTATCTGATTTTCTTTTAATTTTGTAGCCTATGGAGCAGCGCAGCTAAGGGGAATGGGCCTTGACATTGCTAGGAGACATGCATAGGAGGGGTGTAATATAGGGGACTGGCTAGCATAACTGGAGGAGTATATATAGTGGCCATTTTAGCTCAGTGGCCATCTTAAATTAATCCACACTTACCTGTTTTGTGGCAGGTCTGTGGTAGTGTCGCTTTTGTCTTTCTGGTACATCTTGACATGGAGAGCCGCACTCAGGACTATCACGTCAGGTCCCCCGGGGTTGCTAGATCCCAGGGAGGCCATAATGAGCATGTAGGCCAATACGGTAGGGAGTCCCGCAGCAGGGGCTGCCCAGGTGGCTTAATGCGGGATCTCCCATTAGGACAATGGAACATAGGAACAGCAGTAGATTGAGCTCCTTTAGTGGGGGCTTTCAGGGGACTATGAAGAACAGATGGCGGGAAGGGGGTCTTTGGCGCTGTCCACATGGGTGGCCTACGTCAAGGATTGGCACAAATGGGTTGCCACAATGGTGTGTGGGAGTGGACAAGACTCAGCCACGGCTTGGTTCAACACTTTGTTATGGTTTCTTTCCAGGTTATTGGCGGCAAGGGCGGCAGCAGTAGGGCGCAACAGGATGGCGTTGGCGTTTTATATATGCTTAATGGGTGGAAAGAATTAACCAAGCATTTCCTAGTGCGTCCGGCTACAAAAGGGTTTCAGACAGGCAGGTCATCATGGGATTTGCGCAGGCCGGTATCCTTCAAAATTCTGCAAGGCTTACTTGGCGAACTGCCGGAGGTTTGTTTTTCGGAATACGAGGTTGTGTTGTTTTCCGTGGTGTTTAGTTGGGTGCTTTTTCGGGGCATTGAGGATGTGAGTTGGTGAAGCAACTGCCGGGGCGGAGGTGGCTTACAGTGTCCGGACATGGAACTGTGGAAGAATCAGGTGGTGTGACATCTCCACCATTCCAAAACCAACATATTCGGGTAGGGCAGCACTTACGCTGTCTTTGGTGTCAGGTATGGGCATGTGCAGTGGCGTTTCGGATGTTTCGTGCTGGGAGAGGAGGTTCATTTTTATTGCAAGCCGATGGTTCTTCAGTGTCCACAGTTCAGTTCCTTAAGTTGGGTTGGTGGGTGAACCAGTCAAGTAGATTGGGAGGTAGGAATAAGTGAGATTCAGGTCATAGTTGAGATCCAACCAATCAGTTTAAGTCTGGTTGAAATGGTGATCATTGTTCTGTGTGGATAACGTGTTTTTCTTCCGCAGGTTGGATTGCATGGGTGATGGGACACTCATATGTGTACTGGGCACAAAGAAGAGCTGCAGTTCATCATCAATGCATCCAGCTGGGCTTCCCGTGCTCGATGGTGCAGATGGAGTTATTTGGTTTTAGGGGTTGCAGTTGGCACGGTGTATGCTTAGACCTATTCAAAAGGCTTAGAGTGGGTAAAGTACCTAACATTGTTTTGTTTCATGCCGGGGGAAAATTAATGAGGCCTGTTTTTGCAGAGGGCTTTGCTCAAGGAGCTGAAGAAAGATTTTGATGGGATGAGGCATATAGTCCCTGACGGGTTGTCATAGGGTCAGAGATGGTACCGTGATCTCAAAGGCAACACACTAGTGGCAAGAAGTAGGGGGATGGTAAATACAACTATGTCAACTTATGTGAGGCACTTGAGGGAAAGAGTGGTAAGGCATTGGAAACACAGTTGC